GGAGAGCACAAGGTGATAAGTGACACCCCTCTGCTGAGCTGCTCTCATCAGGAATAACAAAGTGGAAACTTAACAGAGAGCTACCTTTTCTATTTTTGCCATTATTAATCACTGTTCTGCATGTTTGTCACTATCCCTTCATAACTGGTGCAGTTATTACTCCACAATGACTGCATTCCACAGCTGGGGAAGTCGGTGCTTATTCCTGCCCCATCCTCAATCCAGGCTTGAGAATAAAACAAGGTTTGGGAGAGCATAAGGTGATAAGCGACCTGTCCAAACCAGGTAAAGCTTTTCTGGCCCCTCCAGCTGACATTTATGGCACTGGGCCCCCTCCTCACCCACCAGCACATTCTCAGAGTGCTCCCCTGCACATGCCATCACTCCCATCTCACATCACAGCCAGAGGGGAAGCATACTCGTGCTTGCCAATAGTGAGAGGGGGCAGGTTTGGGTCAGACTGGCAGAACTGCATCCTGGAGCAGATGTCCTTGAAGTCCTGGTTCCTCCGCTCATATTCCTCCGTGTGAGCTGCCAGGTGAGAGTTCACAATGCACACGCTGGTGTTGTGGAATTTAAACCTGATGGCAACACCACCTTTGTTACCCTGAAAGACAAAGATATTAATCAGAAGCTTTCACACTGCAGATGAGTTACTAGCAGTGGACAAGCCAGAAGATTTTGAGACAGAATGTTTAATTCCAGAGGAAGGAATAGGCTGAAAATGCTAATTAGTGATTGCTTTGAACATTGGTGCACAGCTGGCAGTGCCCTGAGCTGGCATGGGGATAGGACTGTCTGCTTCTAGAACCAGCCCTTAGCTGGAGGAATAACCATGCATCCAAGGAGAGGGGCTCTTCCAAATCTCACCCCTTCTCATTTGCCATTCTTACCATCCTCCCCATGATTCCAGTCCCCACAGTCTCAACTTCCACCTCGGAGATGTTCAGAGCCAGTTCTGCCTTCACATACAGCAGGAGCATGATCCCCACCAGCCTCACAAGCTTCACCTGAAAAACACACCCAGTCCATTCCATGCTGCAGTGGAAGAGGTTTGCTGGGAGAAGGCACATCCATCCACAACATGGGTCACCAAAGAGGAAGTTTCAGGATCATCCAGTGCACAGGCCCCCAACAGCACATTTGGAAGGAGCTGGGAGCAACAGGAAGGAGCTGGGAGCAGCATCAGTGAAGGAAGTTGAAGCCCAAAGCAAGAGCTACAGCACAGACACATGGAAGGAAATTCCCTTCAACAACAGAGACAAGAGATGAAGCAGACCTATGGAGCTGGAGCTAAACCAAAAGCAATATTCCTACCAAAATAACTTCACAATTCATTCCACCATACACTGTATTCAGGCATGGAAGAAGGTACAGAACTTCCTATTCTCCTTCCCCAAGACAGCAGGAGCTCCCTTTGAGTGGGGAAACCTGGCTCTGTTTCCCATCCTACCCCTGCCTCACCATCTAAAGAACCTGCACAGCCTCTGAAGACACAGCATTGGGAACAAGAGAAAGCAAAGGGAAAAGAGTGGGAAAAGTGGGAAATGATTCCACACTCAAACCTCCCCAAAAGCCACATTTACCTTTGCGTATTTGGCATCTGGGTGAAGACTATCAGTTACAGCTTTAAACCATTCTTCTTCCTTCGGTGTGTCATTGAAAAAGAAGGCTTCTTTAGTCAGATCAAGCTCCTGGAAACTGTGTTAGAGGAAGGAACCCATGGATGCATGCACTTGTTTATGGCTCTCCAACCCCTTCTCTGGGAAAGAACTAAATCAGCTTACACTCACTAAATTCATAACTGAAAACTCAAATTTAATTTTGCTGATTGTAGATGTATGTCAAATGTAAAGCTCAATTACTGTCATTATTACATCAGATGGCATTAAGGATTTTGTAACACTGAGAGGCCAAACCCTACCAGACCAACAACCCTTACAGGCTGTGACACACCCACCCCGGAGCTGTGCATGCACTGCACCAGCGCCAACATTCCTGTGGTGTCCTGGCTGAGCTCCTCTGGGTGACAGAGCCTCCTGCACAGCCCAGGTCAGCGAGGGTGGCCAGGGACAGACACTCACCCCACACAGTAAATGTCTGGAGGCTCAGCATCACACCTCAGCCAGGGCTGCAGGCTCTCTGTGGGTGACTGCCCATTCACGTTGTATGTGCCCACAAAAACCCTGCAAAGACAGTGACAGGACCCCAGAGCTGCAAACTGGGAGAGAAAACTCCCTGCAGAGCCCAGCAAACAGCACTGCTATTAACCAGTTTGTTTATTAACCATATCATGTTTAATAAATATAACCATATTATATTTAACCATAAATAACCATATTTATGTTTATATATATATATATATATATATATATATATATATATTTCTATATAACTAATATATAACTTATTCACCATATTATGTTTATTAACCATAAATAATGTTCTACACAACTAACGTGCTGCCAGGGAAAATTAAGAAAGGTGACAAAGTTTAAATCTCTAAAATTATTATCCCAGGAAACAGCACTGCTATTAACCAGTTTGTTTATTAACCATATTAATAAATAGAACCATATTATATTTAACCATAAATAACCATATTTATGGTTATATATATATATATATATATATATAACCATATATATATATAAGTTATATGAATAACTTATATATATATGGTTATAATAGTTTTTTTCTAAAGAAAGGACTGGCAGCAAGATAGCAGCCACAGAACACCTAAATCTGTCAGAGAAAAACAATTTATTGCTCCATTATCAGGACAAACTAACTTCTTATATATATATAACTAACTAACTAACTATATATATATATATACTATATATATATATATATATAACTATATATATATAACTAACTTCTTATATATATATATATATATATAACTAATATAGTTCTATATAACTAATGTGTTGCCAGGGAAAATTTAAAAGTGACAAATTTTAAACCCCTAAAATTATTTAACTACAGCTGCACCTTTACAGATGGATTTTTACAGAAGAACACGTTGTTATACACAAAATGTTAAAGAAAAAAACAGAAATAAGGCTGTAGGAGGGTGCAGCTTGAAATGATAAATTTCTGTGCAGTAGCAGCTTGAAATGATAAATTCGCAGACTGAGATGCATAAAACGATTTCAAACACAGTAAAGTTTTGGTCCTAATTATGTATTTCACTCGAGCTCTTTCTTATGAGCTTGTTGGAAGAACTACATGGATAAGCATTGTACAGAAATGGAGAGGGAGAAGGCTGGATGCATTTCCACACAATGTCTAAAAAAGCACCAAAATAAAGTGATTTCAAAAAGGGCATTTCCTCCACCAAGAACCATGAAGAAAGAGACATGAATGAAATTCTGCTCTGCTCATATCTAAAGGTGGAAAGAAAACTGTTCTGGAAAGCATGAATTATACTTTTCTACAGAATTTTCTGTTTGTGGGGACACAGGATGAAACAACAGATGAGTTGTTCCAACAGTCTGTGCTCAGTTACAGCCCACAAAGTAAGTTCTTCTCAGGAATGCTCATTACCTGTAGTTCTGGATGTGTGTGTAGGAGTCCTGCATTTGTAAAAGCTGGGATTTAACAATAGTATCTCTGAGCCCAAACTTTGGCTCTGATAAGATTGAGGCCTTGTTCGAAGCCATGACACGCGAGGCCCGGACCTGCTCCGTTCTCACTTCAGGCTTGGCTTTGTTTTGCCTGCAAATGAAAGCAAAACCACAGGTGAAGCCCAGGCTATCCCCACACCCTAACCAGCATATTTCTGCCACTGAGGCCTTAATTCACATTTTTCTGTCTGTTCACTAAATACAGATAACATTTGGGATAAGCCAAGAAGACTGAAAAGAGCATTTCTTAGCAGGGCTGAGATCTCCAGACAAAACCAGTTTAATTAACTAAAATAACAAATGGTTTTCACCATCCTGGTGCAGCCTGTTGATGCAGAGCAGGCCCTACACCTGGAAAATGATACAAAAACTGAACATCTTCCCTGCTTACTGCAGCAAGGAGAGGCAAATCTCATCTCCCTGTGCCTCAGCCAGGAATGAAGAACTCTGTTTGTTTATAAAACCTTCTGCTGGAAATATTCCAACTCTGCCCAGAGTGGGTGGAGGCAGAGGTGGTTTTATTTTGTGTCTCCTGGATCTGCAAACTCCTTTTGCAAAGGAATAATGTCCCAGCTTGGGAATTCCCAGCAGCAATGGGATGGTATAAATGTAAGGGCAGCATACCAGTGCCAAGGACAGCACATGGGCAGACTCTGAATGATTTGCATCAGGGTCCACAAAGTCCTGGGAACTGGAAAATCAAACTGTAACATTTTAAGAGTGTATCTATGAGACACAGTGGCTCTAAGCCAAAGCTCTCTGAATTAAAAATAAACAATGCTAGCAGGTCCTGTCCCACTAAACAACCAAAATAGGCCCAAACAGGGAGGATTGTAGGGAGAGGGAGTGGAATGAAATTTCCACTAATGTTTTGACAGCATGCTTATGCTGAATTTTTTTCTCTTTTAACTACAACCTGCAAATTCTCATTTTAAAAAGCTGACAGCTTCTATAGAGTCCCCCACCTCTGTGCACTGACCTGGGAGAGCTTCTATCAGTGCTGTCGTGGCTGCAGCTCTGACTGCCTGCAGCTTTTTTCCCATTTTGTTTGACACCTTCAGAGCCAACCACTTCTAGAGGAGAAAAGAACAAAAAACAACCAACAAAAAGTTTCACTTTAAACACAAAGTGTTCTTCCATTTATCAACATGCTTATGTAAACACTGGCAAAAAATCTGTGGGCAGAAAATAATTTAGATTTGTCTGTGGAAAAACAAAGTACCCCACAGTCTCTCTTTCAGCTATCTGACAGATTTAGCTTACTCTGACCCAAGTGTTGTGTGATGATGCAGCAGAGGAAGGAACTACAGGAGCCACAGAGAGCAGCACTGTCCTCTGTGGGAGCACTTGCTGCTGCCTCTCCTTTACAGCTAAGCTGAAGCAGGACTTAACAGCACAAAATCCAGAGCTTTACCCCCAGGAATCTGAAAAATTTATGTTAATAGCAGATTTTTCCTTTCTGAAGCAAGACAGGAAGTACAAAGAAAGGGGGGAAAGGGAAAAAAACAAGCCCAGAGTTCCATTTAAAGGGTTTCTGCCTATCTTGCTGGGTATATCTGCAAATATCCAGCAAGGGACAGGTGTCAAGGGCCATAAAGAATCACACCAGGGAGCCACTGAACCTCAGCAGAAACATCTGCCCCAAAGCAAGCTGCACGTTCCTAAAACAGTCACAGGGCTGCTACCACACAGATCGAACTAACCACAGCAGTGACACCGAACACATCACACTACCTTAGCAAAATCTGACCAGTCTTTCAGCACTTTGTTTCAGTTACAATGTTCTGCTCCTACAAGTTGCAAAATAACAGTTAAAAAAGAGGGTTCTGGGGGAGGGCTCTGTGTTTGAGACGCAAAGCCAGCAATCTTACAATCATGCTCCTTAGCACACAAATCTAACGCTGATGTAGAAATTGTTAAGACTGTTGGGTTCTAGGCATTCAGCTGAGCTTCTCCTCCAGTGAACACAACTCAGAAAAATTAAGATGTTATTGCTGTCACAGAACATTCTGCAGAACACGAGCACACAACAGAAATAGAACTTGCAGTACTTCACCCAGGCCCTCGGGATACAAACCAGATGACAAGAAGTGGCCAAATTCTCAGCCTGGATAACCTCCTCTGCCCAGGAGCCTTCTGAGAATAGACTGTGTAAGAGGATTTATCAGAGCCTGGACGCAGCAGAGCACATGACTGAAACCTCACTGCAGATCACACAGCTCAAGTCAAGCAGAACTGACCAGGACACACAGAGATGCACTGGAAATGTGGGCCCAGGGACACAGCAGTGTTTCCATGGGTGTTGAGAGCTCAGTTACTGCTCCTTGGACCTCTGCAGGCTCTCCCACTAACAGCCATGCAACATCTCTTGAGAGTGAGTGACAGGAACCAACCTGAACTTCACCTCAATGGACAATGGTCACTTTTGTGCCAAGAAAAGAACAGATTCCCAGGCTTTACTACCATGCCACTCACCAGTGTGCAGAAGGCATTACTGCAGAATGGAAAGGTGTGTGACCCTGCTGCTGTCACAACTCCTACCTGATCCAAAGATCAGAGTTACATCACACCTTGCATTCTAACCTCATGGGCAGAAATCAGCTTTAGGTAGGATTCTCCTAAGAAAGAGATTAGCTTTGGAAAAGGGCAGTTTCCTTTAGAGATGTTTATACCTAGCCACAGATTTCTGTAGCCAGAGGGATCTATATGTTAGCACTCTGAAGTGGAATAATGACCTTGTTCAATAATTGAACTGAGCACAGAAATACAGAGCAACATGCAGAGATTACAGGAGGTCTCAATTGCACAGGATTTGCAGTTAAATGAGATCCAAGCAGGAATAAAGGCAGTAATGCTAAAAATGTGCAGTGATATTACAGAACAGCAGGAAAACGTATCATATCTCCTGGATAAACAGGATTCATGCTTAGCGTCCAAAGAGGAGAATTAAATTAGCCTGTCATGCAAGCAGAGCAGCAGGGCACAGCAAAACGCCAACATTCGGGTTCTGAACCCCACACTGACTTCCAGGAACTGCCTTAGCTCTGAACCTTCGCAAAGCGGGAAACCACCGAGCCCGGCGAGCGGCGGGGCCAGCGGAGGAGGCGCCGGAAGAGCCGGCGGAGCCGACCCGGGCGCACGGGGCGGGCACCGGGCGGCGAAACCAGCGGAGCCCCGGCGGTCAGTGCCCGGCAGCAGCTCCGAGCCCGCTGCCCGCGGCGGAGCTGCCCCGGAGCTGCCTCGGAGCTGCCCCGGAGCTGCCCCAGAGCCGCCTCCCGGCCCCGGCCGCGCCGCGGAGCTCCGGCAGCGCCGGGCGGGCTCTCAGCCCTGCCCTGGCCGCGCCTCCCCGCCCAGACAGACAGACGGACAGACGGACACACAGACCCAACCCGGCGGGTCCCCGCGCTCACCTCGGCAGGACCGCCCGCCCGCGGACATCGCCGCAGCTCGGTGCCCCGGCCCGGCCCGGCCCCAGCGCCCGCCCCAGCCCGCCCCGATCCGCCCCCGGCAGCCGCAGCCGCGCCCGCCCGGCCTCGGGCCCGCGGAGCGGCCGCTGCCTCTGTCCCGGAACACCGAGCGTCGCTGCCGGGGTGCTCACGGCCGGGAATCGCGGCTCATGGCAGTGCTGAACGAGTTCCAGCAGGGAGAGGCCGGCCCCGCTCCTCCACACGCGGGAGGGACGGACGGACAGACAGACGCCGCAGCTGCACCCGAAGGGACCCGACACGGAGAGAGCTCGTACCTGCGCTGCACCTGCTGAGCTCCTGCAGGAAGGTGCGCGTGTGGGAGCCGAAGGGCAGCTGCACTGTGAGCCGATCGTCCGCTGAGCCGATCTGCACGGTCACGTCCGAGCCTGCGGACAGCGGGAGAGAAAACTCCGGTGGGTCGTGCTGACAAACCTGAGCTTGTCTCCTGACAAACCTTCCCAAACTGAGCTCTGCCACAGTCTGTGTGCACATGCACACAGCCCTTGGCAACATCTCCCCATGCCTTCTTACCATCTTCCTTTCCAAAGTTTTACATGAGAATTACCCTTAAAATACAAAAATTATAATTTATAATATTTTTATTCTGCTTGTTCAGGGGTAATAATTAATCTTCCAGCAGCAGTTTAAAATTATATGGAAATGAGTTCCCTTGGTTGCATGGGGCTGGCAATGCTCATTAGCAGCAGGTAAGAATGGCCAACAGCATGGAAACTGCCCGAGCAGAGCACAACCCCTCCCCAGTCAGCTCCTCTGGGGCCAAGAACCCCCCAGTCCTGCCCCAGTGCTGGCCCAGGCCCCAGAGCACCTGTAACACAGGCACAGAACTCACCAATGACGTGAAGGTCACTGTCCAGTACAACTGCAAAAGTAAGACAAAGTTCAGTTGAAAGCTAAAGCAACAGATTTTCAGACCATGCTGATACTTCTCCAAACTCCAAATGTTCCCTGCAGGAACAGGGGCAGGCAGAACAAACCTGGGGGCAGGGGCTGTGGCTGGGGCCTGGTGGGACAGAGGCACTCTGCTCCTCACAGGGCCCTGCCAAAAATGCCATGTGGTGCACAACTTTCACCAAAGATAACAAACTTGAAAAACATGAAGGCAGGATAGGTTGCAAATTTCAGGCAGCAGGAGAGCAGAATAAATTGCAAATTTCAGGAAGCAGGAGAGCAGAATATGGACACCAAACCCCTTCATCCCAGTCTTTGGGACTGACAGTGTGTCAGTACCTTCTTCCACGGCAAACTCATCAGTGATGGGGATCACCCTCTCCAGCCAGACGTCCTCAGCTGTGATGGCCATCCGCCGGTGGGTGTACACATAGATCCTGCAGGCACAGGGCAGCACGGGGGCAAAGCCTCCTCAGCTCTGCGTGTCTGACAAAGACAAACCCACACCCCATCCCACCCAGCACCACAGCTCGAACAGCCCCATGCAAATCCCAAACCGACTCCTCAACCCAGTGCCCACCCACCTGCTCCCTCATCGCTTAAATAATGTGTGTGCAGGGCAGAGCAGCTCATGGGGCTTCTCTCTGAGCACCCATAGCATCAAGGCACCATGTTCAAACTGGACTGCAGCCCTTGGGATGGGAAGGGGATCTCAGGAGGCTCCCCTGAGTTCTCTGGGTGCTTTCCCTGCCCGCCCCGCGCT